AAAAAAAGGAATTAAGATATGTTGTATACAAGTACCAACTCCCCACAAAGAATGAGGATATTATGTACTATGAAAATACTAATAAAGAAAATGATCTAAAAACATTTTTTCACCCTTTGTGTGTATCTCGAAAATATATGGACTGTTTTAAAAGTATCAAAAATATCACAACTAACACCATACCAAATGCTAACAATAATTTTTTAAAATTACCTAATACTGAATTCATATTTCTTTAATTGCTGTATAAGTGCCCTAAATGATATTCTAAAGCTCATTTAAATCAAAATAAATTCTACACATTGTGATTATTTGACTTTTGATTCTTTCAGAAGTATATTTCATTCTTTACGTGCTTTTAGCTGGAAAGATAATTATAATTTTATTTGGTCAAACCATTCATTTCTTGATTAATAGCCTGTGATATTCTTGTTTATGGCAAAAGTTGGCACAGTTTTTCTCAGAAGGAAAACTCTTGGCTTAGAAAAATGTGTTGACAAAGTCAATTTCAGGTCCAACATAAGAAGAACTGAAAACCTACCTCTACTCCAGCTGCAGCCAAGAGCCACAAGATGGACTCCATCCTGCCCCGGACATTGAAGTAGTGAAGCACTGGCTTCCCCGCCATCTTAGTATCTCTTGGTGTCACTGATGGGAGAATGAATGAAGGAATGAGTACACAGGAGCAAAAGGTTCTTTAGGATTATAATTAGTTATCCAGCAACACAGAAGGATGATTTTTCTTTTCAAGGAAGCGTTGGAGAAGTGCTGGGAACTTCTTTCTCCAAAATCTTACCCTTCAGTAGCCACCATGTTGAAACTGCACCAAACTTAGGTGGTGGTTATCTATACTGTGAATGTGGAAGAGGCTCAGACTGGGTCACACTCTATGAAAGACTCTCTGAGCTTGGGAAGAGCTTTAAAAACTACAGAACATCTGCAACAGAGACAAGGGGGCAGGAGCAGTCTCTCTCCAACTCTGGCTCCTGGACTGCATTTGTCAGAAGCATTCAGAGGGCCTTAGTCTCCCCAGACTGCTATCGAAACCTAAATTATTTTTATAGGTTAAGTTAGTTATTTTTTTCTTGGAATTCTACATTCCCATTGTTGTACCGAATTTATTTCATACTTTATAAAAGAGATAGTTGCTCCATTAACTTTGTATTGTAAGGAAAGTAAGTAACATAAATTTAATGTTTGTCACATAGTGAGCAGTTTCTTGTTTTTACCACTAAAGCATAAAAATTGTTTGATAGAGAACTAGCTGGGCATGGTGGTGCATGCCTATCATCCCAGCACTCAGGAGGCTGAGGCAAGAGGATCCCTGTGAGTTTGACGCTAACCTGGGCTACATAGTGACTTCAGGACCAGCCAGAACTACATAGTGAGACTTTGTCTCAGAAAAAGAAAAAAAAAAAATAGAGAAGTTTTACTGTTATAAGGTTACAGGTGAAGATATTAATACGTATACAGATTACATACCGTGATAACCTAGCATTAAAGTACACTTTTATTTGACACAGATATCTTAGAGCTTCTCTGTAACAGTGTCTTTATAAACTCTATGTCGTCTTATTAGTGAGAGGTAAAATCAATATCTTAGGTCCTCAATTTTGTCTAAGAAACAGGTTTAGTTCCACTTGCCTTATTACTCTAAAAGTCTTATACACGTAGAGTTATTTGGAATTTTGAGACTAAATCCAGCTACTCTTTGATTTCACTACCATTGAAAAATTGAGGAGAAACAAGAAGAAAACAAAGAGAAAGAGGAAAGGAAGGAAAAGGAGCAG